GTTTTTTGTTTTTTTGTTTCCTTGTTTTTTGTATTTCACCTGCAGGTTTACACCTGGGTCTTTAAAGATGCAGCATGTGTTGCACAACTTTCTCATTGACTTGGTGTTCTTGCAATCTGTTTCATGGAGTGAGTGTATACATATTGAGTTTGTTGCAGTTTCTTTTTAAATGAAGGCTTAATGCAGGATAGAACAATACCTGCAATTATAGCTGTTTTTAAAACTTTAAACAAAAAATCTTTTGTACCATAGTGTGCTTGATATTATCCCCATGGTAAGAAGTTGTACTGTTGTGAATACTCAGTCCCTCAGACTGGACAATGGATACATATACATAGCGCTGCATCCTAGGGTCAGCTGTCTTGCACACATTTTTACACTGAACAACTCTGTATTTCAACAACCTGTTAATCTTGGCTTGTTCAACTTTATCGTACAGATCAACTTTTCATGAATTATCTAATCACTCTGACTTCACAAGCCACTTTACATTATACAGCTGTTTTGGTTATTTTAACCAGTCCTTTATCTTAGAAGGCAATATGTATAAATTATGTTAATCTTTCATTAATGCTTTTGTGTTTAGGCTACTTAATATTGGCACTAACAATATTTTTGTGTCAAACATCCTGTGTATGTATTCTAGCAATTTGAAATAGCTGTCTCACATCAGCAAAAAGTGCTGCTTTTCTGTGAGTTTGGAAGTCCAAAACTTCCTGATGTCAAACTGTTTACATTCACACCATACACACTTCTATTTTTTTATTATTATTTTTTTTTTTTAACCTCCACATACTTTGCTTTAGGTTGGGATTCCAAAGCAATATTTCTCCAGATATTGCATGTTTTACCTGCATTTTCCATTTTTACAGATTTTTGCTCTTTCTTAGATCCTTGCAAATGTTAACAATGTACATTGTGTAAATAGCTGTGACAGCAGGTGAGTTATGTGGTTTATTTAGTTGATAATCCACATCGTGTATATATATAATTTAAGTCTGCAGCAAGATTCTTAATGTTTTTTTCCTGCAGATGGTTTTTAGATTTACATATAAAATAAAAGTATTAAAGAGCTTGTAAGTTGGCTTTTTATTTATTTTTTTCCTCAATTTGATTCTCATTGTAATAAAAATAAAAAATGATAAAGCTAGACCAAGATATTGATGTATATCTCTCATTCTGCGCGACACCTTTCCTGAAGCTAATACTTGCCAAATACGGTAAGTCTTGTAAGTAGTATGCTAGAGCTAGATTGTTTTGTCTCCATGCTGCTGGACAGTACATGAAGGTGCAACTCGGGGTGGGGGCAGGGGCTTTGATATTTTTTTATTTTTGTATAAGAAAACCATACCCATATCATGCAATGCATCATTAAAGAATGACATTGACATCGGAATGCTTGCATCTGGCGATATATAGAAAAGGCATATCCGTGTTTACCCAGCCGGTGGGTAATCTACATTGGTATTGAATTGTATCATGTGCTGAGTCGACATTGGTCACAATACATAAATGCGTGTGGTACTCGATACATATAAATATGGAGGAACTTTAACAAAATAACTTGAATTAAGGAAAGCAAAGGAGGAGGATGTGGGACACATTATATTGCAAAAAGTAAGCATTAGTGGGAGTGTGGTCTTAATGGTCTCATTGGGTAGAGATGTTGGCACATACCAGCGGACTACAGCCTACTCATTAGGATGGGATTGGGAGTTTGGGCCATTAGTGAAGGACTAATGTCAACAGGGGGTCCTGACTTTTATATGCTTTAGCTGAAGACCGGGGTTCAAGCATGTATCCTAGGGAAAAATGCAGCGAGATAGTAGTTGAAGATATGTGGGCGGACTTGTGTGTTCCCGTCAACACCTGGTAGAAGATGCGAGGGTGTTAGTATTTCCATATTGAGGATGTAAGCAGTGATTTACGTGTGGGGTAATTGGATGGGAAGTGCCTGCATGAGGTATAGTACCTTCGGAAGGGACATCATCTTAATGATGATCCTGCCCATTAATGGGAACTGAGGGAGTTGCCACGGCTGCAGTTCGTTTTTCAGTTTATCTAGCAGGGGGATAAAGTTTGGTTTATATAGGCCTTCCAATGTAGGGGTTAGCTGCACACCCAAGTATTTAATGTTCACTGTCATTGTTTTGTTTCTTGACAGAATAACTTCCATTGTGAATGCTACTTAATGTGAGGTAGCACTTTTTATAAACATTACAAGTATTCTCTGTAAAGCTGTGCTTTCTGAACAAGGTGGGGCAACACATTAGAGTGTGGGCCACACAGTCCAGGTGTGTTGCAAGAACGAGGACCAACCGCATTGTACATGCATGGATACGTCTGAAGGAGAACTTACTATCAACTATATTTCCTGTCTGCTTTTTTCTATGCACACCACAGTGAAGAGATCATGTATAGTGCGCATGTGGAAATTTCTTGTGTGGCCCTGTTACAGGTAATCGAAGATGCTGATTCCTGTGTGGCTACCCACAGGAAGTGATGATGTCACTTAACCGCGGCTGCTTGTAGATAATTCCTAGTAATTGGTAGGCTCGGCTAGAGATAAACACCCTCAAAATCTTATATCTGTAAACCGCAAAACATCTATAATAATGTCTAGAAAGCTTTAGAATATTACTATCGAATAATATAAGTATCTAGATTCTGTGCAGATAGAATATTAGTAGATGAGAACCGTAATAGCTGCATCTGGTTATTCATGAATAAGAACAGTAATAATGGCAGTTATTGATTTATTTGTGGAAAAGATCTTAGTAGTAGTGTCCAGCGGGGTGAGCGGGAACAAGCAAAAATCATAAATTTGCACAAATGTATTAAAATTGCAAATAGTACAAATAGTATAGGTGGTGCTCAGGGAAACAAATACACGGTGCTGCTAGAATTACCCGAGTATAGCTTCACCACACATACTCAAAAACCAAGATATAGTGAAAATGAAAGGTACTAGTGCACACAGAGTATATATAAATGTTACCTCTAATGTATATACAATGGTAACTGATGCATGCAAAACTGTTTATATAGGTAATGATATCTATACATAATTACATAATTAATTGCACATGAAACATAAAGACCTCCCTCTCCTTATATGGTCATGACCGGATGTGTGTTGCCACCTCCAATATGGCCACACATCCGGTCTGGACAAAACCGGATGCCATCTTATTGGGCCAGGCTATCAATCTATTGGCAGAAATTGAGGAGACAACAAGCACAATTAACCCCTTAAGACCGCAGCCAAATGTACAAGTTGTGATCAAAACGTAAACAAAACCTGGCATTTGTGCTGTATGTCTGTCCAACTGTAATTCATCTTTCATATTAAATGCACACACACTTATTGTATATCATTTTATTCATGGGAAACTGGGCTTTCTTTATATATTATATATATATTCTATAATATTTAGGTATGGAACATAATTTAATATGAAAAAAATGGGAGAAAGTAAGAATTTTTTTTTAAAAATTTAGTTCTTCGTGACATTTTAACTGTGAATGTCAAAATACTGTTTGCTTTTACTGCAGTAACATACACATTTGTATGCAGCGATGTCTCATGTGTAAAACAGTACCCCCTACGTACAGGTTTTATGGTGTTTTGGGAGGTTACAGGGTCAAATATAGCGTGTTACATATTTGTTTTTTCACATTGAAATTCGCCAGATTGGTTACGTTGCCTTTGAGACCATATGGTAGCCCATATGGTAGCCCAGGAATAAGAATTACCCCCATGATGGCATACCATTTGCAAAAGTAGACAACCCAAGGTATTGAAAATGGAGTATGGCCAGTCTTTTTTTAGTAGCCACTTGGTCACAAACATTGGCCAAAGTTAGTGTTAATATTTGAAAATACAAAAAAACTAATTTGAATGCAAATTTTGGCCAGTGTTTGTGACTAAGTGGCTACTAAAAAAGACTGAACATACCCCATTTGCAATACCCTGGGTTGTCTACTATTGCAAATGGTATGCCATCATGGGGGTAATTTTCATTCCTGGGCTACCGTGATATATACGTATATACTTATGTGTATATATATATATATTAATTTTAAAATTCAGTTAGAACGAAAAAACAACTGGAATTCTTGGATGTTCAAGATACAAAAAAGAGAACTCTTTTTTTTATCAAGAATACTTTCCTTTTAATAAACAAAATGAAGAAAGTATGACTCCAAACATTAATCTACAGGTCTCTGAGTGTGCAATGTCAGACATTTCAGAGACCTGTAGATTAATGTTTGGAGTCGTACTTTCTTCATTTTGTTTAAAAAATGTTTTCTTTTCATGACTATGGCGCAAACTTGGTCCTCTATAAGAGATATAGTGACGACATTTTTATCATTTGGAGGGGATCTCAAGAAACTTTTAAAAAAAATTTTTAACTATCGTAACTTTAATGACTGCGGCATTGCTCTTACCAAAAATATAAGTAGGGATAATATAGATTTTTTAGACTTGAATATTTTTATTCAGAAAAATATGTTAATGATCAAAACTTTTTTTTAAGCAAGTCGATGTTAATAGTTTTATTGAACTTGAGAGCTGTCATCATCGTCCATGGCTTAAAAATATACCAAAAGGACAGTTTTTGAGGATGCGCAGGAATTGCACCAATCAGGAGGACTACATTGCCCAAACAACTGTTCTCAAAAACCAACTTGTACAGAAAGGATATGATTTGCAAGACAATATGAATCAAGTTGCTAAGATAGATCGTTCACTTTTATTACAGTATAAGGAAAAGGCTGCTATTAATTATCAAAAAGAACAGATCCCTCTGATTTTTAATTTTTCTAGCAATATTGGTGCAGTGAAAAAAAATTATCAATAGTAATTGGCATATCCTTCAACAGGAAGAAGATATACAACAGTACATAGGCACCAAACCGAAGTTTATTTTTATGGGGGCTAAAAATCTTAATCAGATTCTAACCTCAAGCTTTATTAAAATAGAAACCCCCAAAAACTTTTTAACCAGTTGGGCACAAGAACAAAAAGGTTTTTATTACTGTGGAGGGTGTAACTCTTGCTGCAATAATAAAAGAACAAATAGGAAAATAGAAGATTTTTATTCCACTGTTACTAGTAATAAATATCAGATTAAATCTTTTATTACATGTCACTCCTCTAATGTGATTTCCTGGCTAATCATGGCAGCATCACTTATGGGTAGCTCCTCCCTTAGCAGTCACAGGACAGGAATAATTAGATTAATTAATTAGACTGATAGTTATAAAGAGTCCCTCCTCCCCCTACACCTCAGTCTTTTATCCTGTCCTTTGCAAGTTTCACAGGACTTTTTAATTTTATTTTATGGCCACCTTCCTGGGTTTGTCGTGGGTTCGTTCCAAATAAAGTTCAGCCTCTCTTCATTTGAAGGGCCTAGTAATCAGCCTGCATGAGCAGGACTAACTGGATCAGGTTCAGTGTAAGTACTGAACTGCAGCGTGGGAAGTAAGTGTTTTGAGGGAGACACGGTTTCTGTTTATTTATGGGGTTGGTTATCCTTAAAAATTCCCCTTGTTGTCAGCCTGCCCCTACTAATTGGGGTCTTAATCCCCCCCCCCCCATACCTTGATGGCAGTTAATTGTAAAGTGTGGGGTGTCCTGGTACCTTCTGCGATCTGCTTTATGTGTTCTGGGCTGTGCAGGCATTTTCCTTCTGCCTGGGGCTCCCTGTGCGTCCGGGCATTGGGGGCTGGTGCTCGCGGCCGGATCCGGCGAAACCGGAATTGATTTCATGCCGGTCGCGAGCATTTGGAACGCATGGTGTGCGTTCCAGCGGTCTGCGCATGCACGTAGCGGACGCTTCCCGGCTCTATTTGAACCCAGTGATACAGCTGTCTCTTCCTAGGCGCTGTATCAGCTGTTCAAGGACTTGTGTTTCAGCCCTGAGTCCCTGCATTTTCTCTTACTTGGCTGTTATTCCCTGGCTGCCTGGAGGAATCTTTCTGTCATTAAGGTAGGATTTCTGTCTGTTTTGAGCTGCTGGTTTGGAAGTTTGCTTTTCTTGTCAGCTTGCCTCTGCCCCCCTTTGGGAATTAGGTCTTAAATTTTCCTTTGATTCTCCTTTGTAGTATGGATTCTCCCTCTACCTCTGCAAGATCCCTCTCTAGAAAACATAGGTGGGGGGGTTGTTAAAAGAGTGCCAAACTAAGCCTGTAATATATGTCATATATGGCTTTATTCCAGCCCAAGCATACATTTGTATTCTCCAGCAAGAAAATCAAGGGAAAAATCAAATAAATGCATTAATTGTTCGTCACCTGCTCCGAATGGAAGGAACCTTTGCAGGGAATGCTTGTTGGAAGTCGCAGACGCCCCCGGTAGGAGTTCCCCACAAGACGACCTTAAACTCTGGATTTCCCAGGCTATTGCTGAGGGCTTTAAGGCTACAACGGGGTCTAGTGGTCCGAGTAAGAGATGCAGAACGGAACCTCAGTCTTCCAGCTCTGATAAAGACCCTGATGTGTGGGAGGTCTCGGATGATGGTGAGGAGGAAGTTGAATATACCTCCAGGTCTCTTGACTCCAAGTCTATTGATAGACTTATTACCCTTCTCAGAGACACTCTTAGTCTCACGGAAGAAAGATCTGAATTGAGAGACGCTGACAGGTTCTTTGAGGACCTAAAACCAAATAGACCTACTTTCCCGGTACATTCCTCAATCAGGGACATGATCCTTCAAGAATGGAAAAAGCCAGAAAGGAAGTCCACCTTGAAAAATAAGTTCACAAGGATTTATCCGTACTCTGCAGTGGACTGCTGCCTGTTAAATACAGTTCCTAAGATTGACGTTGCGGTGATCCATATGGCAAAGAAAACTACGCTGCATATTGACTCCATGGCATATCTCAGGGAGCCTATGGAAAAGCGTATGGATGGAGATCTGATTAAAGCCTATTTGGCCCTGGGATCCGCCCTTCATCCGGCAGTGGCACTGACCACTCTCTCCAGAGCCTTAAAAGTGTGGCTCGCTAATTTGAAGGAGGACATTGATCGGAGTGTCCGTAGGGGACATCTCTTGGAGAGTCTCAAGGACTTTAGCCTTGCCACGGAATTCTGTTCGGAAGCCTCCCTGGACATCACTCGCATGATTGCCAAGAGCATGGCCCTGTCTGTGGCCTCTAGAAGGGCTTTATGGCTTCATTCGTGGGGTGCTGACTATGCCTCTAAGGCTTCCCTGTGCGACCTGGAAGATGCTATTCAAAAAGCTGCCGATGGGAAAAAGGTATTTTTACCTCAAGTAGGCAGAAAGAGTTTTCCCTCCTCCTGGAAGACTAAACGCTTCAAGGATCAGTCCTTTCGGGACAGCAGGAGCTATAAACCAAGAAGGGAGTATTCCAGGAATTCTTCATGGAAATCCTTCTCGCACTCCTCTTCCAATAAGGCTTCCAGAGGAAGGGGTGCTAGAACCTCGCGGAAGAACTTCTGAAGGTCTTCAGGCCCGTTCGGGGACTGTGGGAGGAAGACTGAAGTTCTTCTACCCCGTGTGGGCCAACAATATTTCGGACGTATGGGTCACATCCATCGTAAGGGAAGGTTACAGCATAGAATTTTCCTCTCACCCAAAATCCGCATTCTTCAAGAAATCCAGGGTGGCGGTAGGCATCAAACGAAGGGCCATGAGGACCTGCATTTCTACTCTCCTAGAGCAGAAAGTGGTGGAAGAAGTTCAGAGACAGGAAAGGTTCCTGGGGATTTACTCCACAGTGTTCTTGGCCCCAAAACCCCAGGGAAAGTGGCGTCTCATCTTAAACTTGAAAGGCGTAAACTCCATGCTCGATATAAGAGCATGGAAGAGCCCCCTTGGAAGTTTATTACAACAGATGCCAGTTCTTTTGGATGGGGTGCCCACTTCAGTTCTGTATGGACTCAAGGGAAGTGGACCCGAGAAGCTACACTCAAATTTAAAAGAACTGAGAGCGGTTTCTGAGGCCATCTTGGTGTTCCTACCAAGGATCAGAAATTCTTGGGTACTGATCAAAACAGACAACCGAGCGGTTGCTTCATATGTGAACAACCAAGGCGGCACAAGAAGCAGATTGCTTTTGAAGGAGCTAGCTCCCTTGATGACGACAGCCATGACCAATCTCAGGGGTCTGAAGGCGATCTATCTTCCAGGTTCGTAGAACGTGACTGCAGACTTCCTCAGCAAGAAGGAAATCCTTCCAGGAGAATGGAGACTTCACCTGGCAGTCTTTGCAGGGATTGCCCATCGGTGGGGCATGCCCCAGATCGACCTGATGGCATCCTCCCAGAATCATCAGGTGGAGAATTACTTCTCCCTCCACCCGAACAGTCAGGCACTGGGCCAGGATGCTCTCTCTCTTCCTTGGTCATTCGATCTGGGGTATGCGTTCCCTCCCCTACCCATGATACCCAGGTTCCTGCGGAAGGTTTGGTCGGAAGGCAAGAAGGTTATTGCCATAATTCCGATTTGGCCTCGGAGGCCGTGGTTCCCCCTATTGACTATGATGAGCCAAGAACAGCCTTGGCCTCTCCCTGTTATGGAGGATCTGCTCACGCAGGGCCCAGTATTCCATCCTCATCCGGAACGCCTCAAATTGGGGGTATGGGTCTTGAAAAGAAAGAATTAAACTACTAGGTCTCTCAAAAGCAGTTGTCAATACCCTTTTGCAATCAAGGAAAGCTTCTACTCTACTGCTTCCATAGGATCTGGGATGTGTTCCGGGAATGGGCTTCGACCAACAATGTTGACTTTCTGCATCCTCACAATACTGAGATTTTGGAGTTCATGCAAGAGGGTCTGGATAAGTGCCTTAGCCTCAGCACTCTTAAAGTTCAGTCTTCGGTGCTTTCAGCTTTGTGAAACATCTCATGGACTTCAGATCCTTTGATCTCCAGGTTCTTCAAGGCAGCCTTCAGGTTGAAACCTCCTTCCAGATCTACTACCTCTCCTTGGGACCTTCCTCTGGTGCTTGTAACGGAGCTCCCTGTACTCCGACCGAGTACCCTCCGTTGACGGATGCTCCTAGCGCTTCCTGAGGACTCCAAGCGCTGCAGCAGACACCACAACCACCGCAGACTCCGCAACCGCCGTATCTTGACTGGAGTCTCGCCGTCTTCCTTCCACCCTGGATCAGCTTCTGTCCTCCAGGACTGTGTGGGAAAGAACTCTTCCTTCCACCCTGTATGAACCTCCAGCATCCAGGACTGTGTGGTGAAGACCCCTCCTCCAAGGAGAGCTGTCAGGAACAAGCTCTTAAAAGAGCTAAGTGACTCAAGCTCAGGGGAGCATGCAGAGCATAGCAATCCCCAGTGTGATTATAACAGCTCCCTCCAATAACGAGACAAGGCTACGTTTAGAGGGATCAAGAAGAACTGTCAAAACCTTTATTTCCCTTGGGACCAGCCAATAGGGTCACCACAATAACATTGTTGTGAAACCTCAATAAAATCACAAACAGTCAAACCATATCAAGCAACACACAGTGACTTATCACAACACAATGGCACATTTTTAAAGGGGTGGGGGGAGACAATATTTAACAGTAAATATCTCACCTGCCTGCAGAATTAACAATATGCAAATCTACCCGAATATGCAAATGAACCAGTCTTGCAATTCAGGTAGTGCATATTGCTGTTGCTACCAACAGAGGGCACTAGACAAGCTCCATAGCCAAACCCACCTAGTTGGTAGCAAACCTCAGCAATACAAGAGAGCAGGCAATACATTACACAGTACACACACACACACTATAAACAATTACATAACACACACCCTGCACCTATAATGGGTACAGGGTGACTAAAACATAAGATAAATAAAGCAGCCTACATAAATAGTCTGTCTGAAGGTAGACTAGGGGCTTTAAAGCCAGATACATGAAAGAGTCATAGTCAAAGGGGAGGAGGCTGGCAAGTAGGCCTCTCGAGGACCAAGTGGCAAAGGGCACTTCGTCACATATCTCCCCTTCGGGGGGAAGACTAACCAGGCACCTGACTTTCTGTCGGTCAGTGCCTGAGTTAGTCGAGTCACCCACCGACCATAAGCAAGTGCCAGAGTAGCCCACCCACAACAAACAGTTATTAGAGCAGCCCACCCACATCAAACAGTGACTGCACCTGGGTATTCCTCTGGGGTGATGGGGCAACACGCTGTGGGGACTTGAGGGGCAGAGGCCAGCGGCGGTCTGCCCTGATGCCAGCTCTTCTGCTGGTATAGCCTGCAGGACATCAGGCTCTGGACAAGGGACAAAGGGAGGGCAGAGGCTGACTGCACTCTGCCCAGCTGCCAGCTCTTCCGCTGGGGGGCTTGGGACATAGTCTGGCTCAGTAGCCAGGGGAACGTGGGGGTCAGTGGGGGTTAACATCTCCCCTGTTAACCCTGGGGCCAAGTTAGGAGTTAGCTGGGGAGGGGAATTTGTACTTACCCCCTCCTCCTGTTGTCCCTGTGAGGGTAGTTGGGGATCTTGACAGGCTGTCCAGCATCCCTGTAGGTCGGGCACAGAGACCACGGTCCCCTCTGCGCCATCTGGGAGATTGGTGTCTCCCCTTGGTAGGGTAAGCTGCCGCTGGGGAGATAGGGTGCTGTGCTCCTCTCCCTGAAACACAGGCTGCCGCTGGAGAGGGAGACCGCCTGTCTCCACTCCCATAACATTGTCCTGCTGCTGGAGAGAGAGACCAACTGTCTCTGCTCCCTGTAGGACACACTGCTGCTGGGGGGGAAGGACGACACCTTCGGCCCCCTAGAATTCCTACCGCTGACGACACCTTCGGCTCCCTGTAACTTGCACTGCCGCTGGGGAGGAAGGACGACACCTTCGGCTCCCTGTAACTTGCACTGCCGCTGGGGAGGAAGGACGACACCTTCGGCTCCCTGTAACTTGCACTGCCGCTGGAGACTAGGTGTCCATATCCTCAACCTCCACAGTTTTCGCTCAAAGGCCATTGCCGCACTGTTCTCAGCACTCAACTGGCGCATTACTTGGTGGACCACCTCGTTCGAAAGGTCTGGGCCATAGCAGACCAACCGCCTCTTTACCTCCTCAATGTAAGCGTCGTCCTCGTAGCGACGTATCATGTTGAGGTGCTCTTCGCAGGGCTCTATCCATCCCTGCTCCATGCTGCTGTAGTTAGGGACGCTGCACAGTGGCTAGCGTTGCCCTCAATAACCTCTCATACAATACCAGTGTCTCCGAGCTGCTTCTCCTCGCACTAGGACGCCATCCCACCGCTGCCACCAATGTAACGGAGCTCCTTGTACTCCGACCGAGTACCCTCCGTTGACGGATGCTCCTAGCGCTTCCTGAGGACTCCAAGCGCTGCAGCAGACACCACAACCACCGCAGACTCCGCAACCGCCGTATCTTGACTGGAGTCTCGCCGTCTTCCTTCCACCCTGGATCAGCTTCTGTCCTCCAGGACTGTGTGGGAAAGAACTCTTCCTTCCACCCTGTATGAACCTCCAGCATCCAGGACTGTGTGGTGAAGACCCCTCCTCCAAGGAGAGTGTGTCAGGAACAAGCTCTTAAAAGAGCTAAGTGACTCAAGCTCAAGGGAGCATGCAGAGCATAGCAATCCCCAGTGTGATTATAACAGCTCCCTCCAATAACGAGACAAGGCTACGTTTAGAGGGATCAAGAAGAACTGTCAAAACCTTTATTTCCCTTGGGACCAGCCAATAGGGTCACCACAATAACATTGTTGTGAAACCTCAATAAAATCACAAACAGTCAAACCATATCAAGCAACACACAGTGACTTATCACAACACAATGGCACATTTTAAAAGGGGTGGGGGGAGACAATATTTAACAGTAAATATCTCACCTGCCTGCAGAATTAGCAATATGCAAATCTACCCGAATATGCAAATGAACTAGTCTTGCAATTCAGGTAGTGCATATTGCTGTTGCTACCAACAGAGGGCACTAGACAAGCTCCATAGCCAAACCCACCTAGTTGGTAGCAAACCTCAGCAATACAAGAGAGCAGGCAATACATTACACAGTACACACACACACACTATAAACAATTACATTACACACACCCTG